ATTAGCAAAAGTGACTAACATTACCAAAACCAGTTGCACTAGAGCAATGGTGGTGAAGCTTTGGCACGCATGCCATGGTGGGCCACTTCTACCACTGAAAGCTCTGAAAGGTTCACCATCACTGCTCTGGATCAGGATGGAAGACAACTTGCATTATACACAAAACAGCTTAGGATGAGAATAGCACGGAAAAGAGAATATCCCCAATGGAAAGACATTTTTGTCATGGTTCCCTTTGTGCATCCAATAGCAGTGGCAAAATATCCACCTGTTACTCCTTCCCAAAAGAACTCCTGTTTTGCATGGAAGGTGTGTTACTTACTTCCAAATAAAGCCTCCACTGCATCTTGGGATGCCTGCATGTCTCACTAAAGTCTTGACACACGGCTATAAGTACAGCTCATGCCTATGATGGTGGATAATGGAGAGTTAAGGTTAAAGTCTGATCTTTGCCTTCAGCTCCTGGCAGATGACCATGAAGCATGCTTCTCCACAGGCCTTTATGATAGGAGAGCTTTATTGGTCAGGAAAGGTGGCCACTGGGCAGTTCAGTGATGTGATTTGGGATAGGGATTTGGGGTTCTGCCATATTTCCGAACTCTAAGGTATAAAAATGAATGATATTACTCTAAACCTCCAAAGCAGCTAGGAAGCAAACATCAGCTATAAAAGATGTGATAGATCTCCAGTAAAAAGTCCGGAACACCACAGGCTCAGGGCAAGCGCTGTACCACCGAGGCACATCCCCAATCCTCATATTGGGATCCTGGCAGATGAGTTTCTCTGTGTATCTGACAGAAGAAAGAAGATGAGGAAAGGGATAAGAAATAGGGCAAAAAAAAAGTAAAGAAAGGAGAGAAGATGAAGCAAGAAAGAAGGAAGGAAGAAGGGAGGGAGAGAGGATAGAGGGAGGAAAAAATGGGAAAGGGAAGAGTTCTATATGCTCCTTTTTATGAGGAAAAGTTCCTCTAGAAATCTCACCCTCAAGACTTTACTACCTTACAAAGTCCCTCCCTCCTAAATTTCATGCTAAAGGTTACTATTCTCCATAGCTGTTTTTGAGGGGAAACAAGATTTCAGTGCACAACACCTGAATTCTTGGACTCACCCTTGCGGGTTTCCAGCCTGAGTCTGTATGTGCGGTGAGAACTGTCTCTGTAGACTGTGCAGCCTGGTGAACTCCTTGAAGGAGATCTCAGCACCTGAGGGAAAGGAAGCCGAGAAAGGCAACCAGTGAGTGACAAAGTAAGCCAACTATGTAAGTTTTGACCCCCCCAAACTATTGCTATGAAGATCCCTATATTTAAGTCCATGTAAATGTGGTGGATTACCAACAGTCAGCTTGTTAACACTCCTCTGAACTGTGTGGAATGTCCACCTAACAATTGTTGCCAAGAGCATGAAAGGAGAACTTGAGGGGAAGGTGGTGTTCTGCTGGTTTTTCTGGAGAAGCTTGTCATGATGGTTTCCCTAATATGAACTCAGCTGTTCTTATCATCAGAGGAGTTTGAGTCCTTGCTGTCACTGAGGATGGCTATTGTTTTCTTCAGGGAAGCTCTGCTGCTTACCTCGAGCATCACTTCCTAGCTCCAGTGCAGACTCCCCAGACTGATAGCACAGCTCCTTCGCCACTCTAGCAGACTTCCTAGCTTCCACCACTGACCTTTGGGCCTTCCCAGTGCAGACCCTTGATATAGACTTGGATGAGACATTGTCGTGGGCTCTAGGTATCCAGCTGGACTTGTACAGGACACTGCCGTGGGATCAAGGCCCTCAGCTGGATTCCTTGGGCCTCTAGCGTGTGGACGGACCTCTTGCGCCCTTCTGTATTTGACTTTTTGGGCAACTATTATAAAATAACCCTATAAATTATGTGTCCTATATTAAATCCGTTCCCTTACAAACCCAGACCACAACAATAAACACACTCCTGCTGGTAGCTGAATGCATTCCTAATTGAAACACTGGTCATGAAATAAGTAATAATGAACTTCAACAAAACACCCTTTGACGTAGCTCTCTTTCTACATTTGCTAGATAACTAAAAACTACAAATGTATGGAATACAGCTTTATCTATTGAGACTGAATTCAGCTCTTAGGAGCTTTTCAACAAAAACAAGTCCAAGTCTGTAATGTTACAAATTTTACCTGAAATATTCTCATGTTGCTAAATGCAACTGGAATAAAGGTCATCTTTGCATTAGGCTCATTTTTAAAATATATAAACTTTTCTGAAAAAAACAGAAGAGATCAAAAGCCAATTTTTCTTTGAATAAATAATGATAGTTTATATAATATAAAATAGGCTCAAACCGCAGTGTCTCTAATGTCACACTTGGGGGCACATAATCTTAAATTTCTAGTAGATTTTCTCCCAGAAAGCCTGTGTATCACTGATTGTGGTGACAGGGTAAGTACTTGACCTGTGCACAGGCTCCTAGACATGAAAACATGCTGCACCTTATTTATAACAAGAAACGCAGCTGTTTTCTAACAAGACAACTCTTAACAAACGGAAGCAAGAAGTTCTTAATGACAACAGCAGGAAAAATCCTCTCCCCACTACAAAAAGCTTAAGCTTCATTAACATAAAAAGCCAGTGAGCGTTGTTTTTCCCAACTCCCTCTCAGTCCCTGGGTTCTCAGATCTCAAGGGAGTGTATCCTGGCCCCTGAGGCCCAGCGATGCACTCCTGACAGGGAATAACAGAGCACCGAGACACTTTGGTGGGTGATAGGCCTGCGCCTGTTACAGAAAGATAATCTGGAAGCAGCCTCAGGGTAAGAATAAAGCCAATGACATTTGTTAAGATCAGCTCTGTACCACTGCAGCATGTCCAGGTAACAGTCACAAAATTGGTCAGAGTGAAGGTTGGAAATGTTCCAGCCAAGCGCAGGAAGAATCGTCTCTTCTCTGGAGATGTCATTGATGTGAAGAGAGGAAATCAGGCAGAGAGTTGCTTGTGAAAAGTGTGTGAGAGATCAAATGACCACGTGAAGGAACGTAAGATGTCCGTAGTGCATTATTTGCATGGTTTATTGTGACTAATTTTTTCATTGTAGTATATGCATCTTATGTTTTATTAGCTCATGTTTGCAGCACATAATTACATTTACCCTGGGGAGTTGGTACATGTACATTATATACCTTAATTCCCCCTTTATGCTCCCCACCCCTGACCCTTCCAGCTCTTGGTCCCCTTCCCGCTTGCCAAAACTCTATTTTCATCACTTTTTCCATTCCCTTTGTTTCTCTTCCCTTCTCCTCCCCCTATCTCTTGTTTCCCTGTGCCATAAAGATAAATGAGGCATTTGTAGGTAAACGGATGCAACTTGAGACCTTAATGTTAAATGAGAAAGGTCAGACACACAGCCTTAGATACCTCCTGGTTCCTCTTATATGAGAAATTCAAATATAAATAGATGGATAGATAGATAGATAGATAGATAGATAGATAGATAGATAGATGTTATTTGACTAGTTCTAAGTGTCTTCAATCCCATCAGAAGAACAGTTTAAGTGGACTCTGACTTAATGTCACTGCCCTTGACAAGTGTGTCCATCCACTCAACAGATGCCTCCAAAGAAACCTGAATCCCATCTATTTCCCCAAATTTACCAGAGAAGGCAATTTACACAAACTGACACGTGGCTGCCATGATTGCGTGTAGAATGGAAGAGAGTCACCGAGTCGCAGGCTTAGCGCGCTGTATTCCCCTCACTACAGGGACAGTCTCACCTGATACCGACCGCCTCCTTCACAGCTCTGCCTACTGACTACTGGGAATATGATTCTTCCTCCCATGGCAAGTATGTACTGCTAGGCAATATTCAGCATGCATGGTAATGTAACAACCATTCGCATAATCGCCATAATTGCAGCACGCTTTATACTTCTCACCTGAGAAATTTATCCACGTAGATGTTCTAGCATCCATTTGTTGGTTTATTATCAGCTTTTACAAATGTGTAGCTATAAACATTCATGTGTACATATATCCACACACACACACACACACACACACACACACATATATATGCTTGTAATTATTCTTGTATATGTGGTCATCAGTTTCTTGGGACTGTATACCTAGACTGAAAATCGTGGATCAAATGGAGGCATGTATTTGGTTTTAATAATAATTTGAAGTGTGTGTGCACCATGAGATAATTTATTTTCCCAGTAGGAATATGTGAGACCCCCGTGGACCCAAAATCTCATCCAAATGTGGCTTTTTAATTCGATAAACATACAATATTGGTACAGACCTCTCTTTTCAGTGAACTGAGAGAAACTAATTGTATAACTCTCCTACTAGCCTGTTTTGAAACTCTTGTTATTTACATTTTTCCCTTTAAAATTTAAAAAATTAAATTGAGAAGCATAAAATTATATTTCAATGAAGTATTCATATACATTTACCTAATTATTAGTGAGTTGTGGATCTTTTCATGTTTCTATTGATCATTAAAGTTTTCTCTTCTGTAACTGTCTGGTTTACATCTCTTCCGAATGTTTCCTTTGAGTTGACCTTTTAAAAACCATTTATATACACTGCATACTAATTCTTTGGTATTTAAATGTGTTACAAACAACCTGGCCAAACTCCCAATCTCGTCTCTTTTCGATGATTCATATTTTTATTTCAATATAGTTGAATTATCAGTGTTTTATGATTTGTGCTTTTCTGTTTTCTTAAATTTTATCTTCAGTTGAAGCCATAGATATTCTGTCAGATTTCATATTCAAACACTTAAAATCGAAATCTCCATTCCATTTGGAATTGACTCTGTAAAAGGTAACGTAGGAGCCCGACACTGCATAAAGACACACAGCACCAGAGCCTGGCGCATGGTTTTCCGTGGGTCTGTGTTCTGCTGCTCTCGTCCACCAGGTGTGAGCGGAGCTCAACTTACTTCATAGTCTCAGCACCACTGATAGCTTTCCCCACTCTTCTTTCTTTGTGGCTTCTCATCGAATGTTTAATCCTTGCTGACCATGGAACAAAATAACGGCAGTGAAGTGACTGAATTCATCCTCCTGGGATTTGCTGGTCAGCACAGGTCCTGGCACGTCCTCTTCACAGCCTTTCTCATCATCTACGTGGCCACCCTGGTGGGCAACGCTGGGATGATCCTGCTCATCAAGGCTGACCCTGCCCTTCACACACCTATGTATTTTTTTCTCCAAAACCTGGCTTTCGTGGACCTCTGTTACTCCTCTGCCATCACGCCCAAGATGCTGCAGAACTTCGTAGGGACAAAACAGTCCATCTCCTTCATGGGATGCAGGGTGCAACTCTTAGTCTATGGGACTTTTGCAACCAGTGACTGCTTCATCCTGGCGTCCATGGCCGTGGACCGCTACGTGGCCATCTGCAAACCCCTGCGCTACCCGGTGATCATGTCCCAGAGAGTCTGCATTCAGCTGCTGCTTGGTTCGTACTTCATGGGCTTCCTAAATGCTTCTGTAAACACGAGTCTGACTTTTTCCTTGGACTTCTGCAAATCTAATGTAATTAATCACTTTTTCTGTGATGTACCTCCACTTCTTGCTCTGTCATGCTCCAGTATTGACTTCAGTGTCATGGTCCTGACAGCCTTTGTGGGATTTAACTTGATGAGCACTGTATTGGTCGTCATTTTTTCCTACATATGGATCCTGGCCGCCATCCTCAGGATGTCTTCGGCCGCAGGAAGGAGAAAAGCCTTCTCCACGTGCACCTCTCACCTGACAGCCGTCACCATCTTCTATGGGACTCTATCTTACATGTACCTACACCATCGTACTCCTGAGTCTCAAGAACAGGAAAAGGTAGCATCTGTATTTTATGGCATAATTATTCCCATGTTAAACCCCTTGATCTACAGCCTGAGAAATCAAGACGTAACACAAGCTCTAAAAAAGGTAGGAAAGAAATGCTTGTAATTTGAACCTTGATTTCTGAAACATCATAGTTTATCCAACAAGCAAACCAACAGTGATCTCTTAATTCTCAACCTCAAAAGATGTGGCAAATGCTTGTGAGAAACACAGCGTTGCTTAACTGTAACAATCCCATTATAAAGGTACAGAGAAAGATCTCAAATGAATATCCAAATTAACCTCTGCTTCATGTGCTGTTAAAGGCATCTGAAATTATGGCTTTGATGCTGCTTTTGTACATCTTCATGAGCCTTTTTGAACTACCATCACAAAAGAAAAGCTAAATGGATCTAAAGGAAGTGCATGATCAATGTCTTCCTCTTATTCCCATCAAATAAAGAATCACAGGGGGATCTTTTTCTTCTCTTGAAGGGAATTATTATTCTTCATATTTCTTTATAGTTCATCTATTTGCTACTGTAAAATAAAAATTGAAAGATGATTTCTTTGGATAATATATTCAGAAAAGCAGAGAAGAAAAGAAAGGTTGGTGGAGTAAATCTGCATAGATATTAGGACATCAGGGGCAAGCACCCCTCATTTCCCAACAGTTTCCTAAGAAATTAGGAGATTAACCCAGGAGGAAGGAAGATGTAGGGCATATTATGTTTATCATCTGTAAACATAATTGATAAAAACCACTGGTAAACATAGTCCCCAGCTGTAGCCCCTGAAAGATAGAGCACATGTTAGGAAAACAAGCTCCAGAGTCAGGTTCCACCATTTATCCAGAATTGATGCTCTCCACCCCTCATCTCCAGAAACCAAGGAGAAGTGAAGTGCGGGCTCACACAGATTTGGAAAGCAAACAAAATGGAATTTGATAGGAGTAGCGAACATGCACCCACTCACTGGGTGAACACAAAGGCTGAGACTACTTGTTACAGCTTGGCTCCCAACCTCACAGCCAGAAAAGCCCTGGGAGACAGACAGAGTGGAGCTCACTGCCCATCCCAGTGTTTCCAGGAGGTTCAAGACCCACAGACAGTGGGATGGGGAGCCAATCATAACCTAGACAATACCAACCAAAACCAAATGGCACAAGTCTACGGACCAGAAGAGAAAGTGCAAAATTAGGAAACTCTACTCGTACAATTGTGCTGGTGACCCACCAGGAATCCAGTCTGTTGAAAGACACCTGGCTTCTATTCCAAAATATAAGGAACTCTTCCCCAGGTCTGGGAGGGCAAACCTTTGTTTGTTGTCCTAGGCCCCCTGCTGGGGCCAAAGACGTCCCTCAGTTTCCTGTCTTGACATGTTTTCTTATAAAACATTCTTCAGGGTGCTTGCTGCATACACCTCTCCTCCAAGGACATGAACTCTGAGAAAAGTGGCACATTCACAGGCAATCTGTGTATCAAAGAAGAGCTCTTTGATATGCATGATGTGAATAAAACAGGAAATAAATGAACCAAAGAAATACAATAATTGGGCTGGAGATTTAGCTCAGCGGCATAAGCGCCTGCCTTGCAAGCAAGCAGTCCTGAGTTCGATCCCCAGTCCTGATAAAAAAGAAGAAGATAAAAATAATTATAGCAAACATAAGTAAGTTTGAACTCATCTCTTCCAGTCCATGGCAGAATGAATTGAGAAAAAATTTTTCATTAATAAAAGAATCATTTACCATAATTAATAAGATAAATCCTATTTATATGGGAGTGATACTTTGCTGGAGCAGTTAATCAAGCACAACAGAACCGTGTCACAGAAGCTGGGATACCTCAGCAAGAGGATGCGGAGCGCTTTTTACAGTTGGCTCAGTGGACCGAGGTATGAGCTAAGGAAGCCAGGCCTGTCTCTAGACTTGGGTACTGGGGAGCAGGACACGTCACCACTTCCGAGGGCAGAAGGACAAAGTAGAAATGATCATAACATTGGTAAGCAAGTGTGGTCACTCACAGGTGTGGACTCAGTAACCTAAAAAGGAATCTGACCTGCGGCAGGCTTTGCTGTTCTTGGGTGCACGTGGGGAATGTTCTGGAAGAAATCCCCTCTGTGTTAGGAGGGACAATTTTATACCAATAAAAAGATCAATCATCAAAAGGCTGTAATAATGGTAAGTATGTAGTTACCTAAGAACAACCCCCAAAATATATAAAGCAACGATTGACACAGTCCAGTGGCTAAATAGCTGGTTCCACAATGACACTGGTGTGATATTTGCATGGAGTTGCCTACATACTTTAAATAATTCTGATCAATTTGCTGCAAGTTCGAGACCAGTCCGGGCTGCAAAGTGAGCTCAAGGCCAGCCTGAACTGCATAGTGAGACTCTGTCTCAAAAGCACAAGAATAAATTAATTAATTAATAATTCTGATCACTTATAAGATGGAACACAGCATAAATGTAAATGCTGTCTGAGGACTTGTTGCACTTGGGCAGTACCAACAGTGTTTTTTCAAATATTTTTACTCATGGTAGTTGAATCCACAGAGGCAGAGCTTATGAATACTTTATCCTTCATTGTTCCTTGGAAAACACACATATCTACTTTGATTGACGTCAATTTGTCACCTTCGCCCTCTTACGGTTACAATGTATTTGAAATACTTTATCTGCCATTTCACACCCTCACCTCGTGTCTGCTCCGCAGAGGTCCAGGAAGCTGACCATATTTTTCTGACCCAAGCCCAAAGGCACGAGGCACAGGGGAATCATGGGAGTCAGTCTTGGCCCAAGTCAAGACTAGGGCCACTGACATCCAAGAGCAGGGCAGAGCGGTGTGTCCCAGCTCAACTACAGAGCAAGAGCAAAGGCCTTCCTCGGCCTCCGTAACCTCCTCAGACCCCCAGAGCTTGTGGGCTGTGGGTGCCCACCCACAGCCATTGGAGCACTGCTCTCTGCGGAGTCTGCTGACTGACGTGCTACCGGCTTCCAGAAATGCCAGGGTCGTATGGTTTACTTACTCTAGCTTTGTTATTAGCTAGCCTTCAAATTATATAGCATGATTCTTTGGCTGTGTTCTTCCTTGGTGATGAAAATGTTCTACAACTGATTATGTGAATGGTTCCGCCACACCATAAACAAACTAAAAATCCACGAGGTTGTACATTTCAAACTGGTGACTTGGATGACATACGAAGTGTATTTCAATAAACCCTTTTTTTGAGTTCGAGAGGTCAAACTCACAACCTCATGCTTGCCAGGCAGTCACTTAAGCCATTGAGCTAAACCCATGATCCCCAAGGATAGACCATTTTGGGGTGTTTGTGCTTTTGGTACCAGGAATTAAACTTACTTATGCCGCTGAGCTAAGTCCCCAGCCCCTTCAAATAAACCTTTTTAAAGAGTTCAAATACAAAGAAATAGAGAATTAAACTAGGGGCAAAAATAAATGGGAAATGGGGACACTGGGGATACAAAATAGTAGGTATGTCAGACGAACAAGTCCAGAGACTTAACATATCATGAGTGGACTAACATTAATAGTGTACTATATGGAATATCTTTGTTACATAAAGGGATTTTACCAACTCTTATAACAAAAGGATGTAACTGTGTCTGATGATAGATACATTAACCTCCTGCGCTCTAGTAACCACTTTACTATCTGTATATATGCCAAGAATCATATTGCTGACTTTAGGTATACATAATAAAATTCACCACTCAAAAACTATAATAAAGTAAAATTCAACAAAATAAAAGAAAAATCAGTGATCAAAAATGTGAACCTAAAAATCTGAAAGAGTAGTAAGAGCCTGATATGCAATAGATATTGTAATAATGAAAGGGAAAGGGGCTGGGGATTTAGCTCAGTGGCATAAGTGCCTGCCTTATAAGCAGGCAGTCGTGAGTTCGATCCCGAATACCGATAAAAAGGAAAGGAAAAGAAAAAAAAGTAAAAAATAATGAAAGGGAAAGAAAGCACTCAAAAGGACAGAACAACTGGGATGGGGAAAAGGAAGAAAGGAAACTACTATATATGTATGTTAGTAAACATACATAAATATATGAATGTATTATGTACACTAGATAGATAACTATACTACTAATTGCTATTAGCTCATCAAAAAGAACAGTTTGTGCTGTCATTGTTTGATTGATCACTTTTGTGCCTAGATTTTATAACCTGAACAACAAATTCTGATATAACAATATGCAATATATTAACTTGAGTTGATTACCTACATTTTTATCTTGTTTGAAATTCTGTATCATTTCTATGCTTTTTTTGTTTTGCTTTTTAAAATAAAAAAATTTACAATAAAAAAATGAGAACCACTATAGATGTTAGAATTAACCAAAAAAACATTAAAATAATTATTATAAGAATTTCATATGTGATAGCTGCCATCAAGAAATCAACTGATAAATGTTGGCGAGGCTGCGGGGAAAAAGAAACACTGCTCCACTGTTGGTGGGAGTGTAGACTGGTGCAGCCACTGTGGAAATCACTATAGAGATTTCTCAGAAGACTAAGATTGGAAGTTCCATTCAACCCAGCTTTCCCCTCCTGGGTATTTTCCCAGAAAAACTAAAAAGGTCATGTCATAGAGATATATGTGCACCCATGTTCATAACAGCACAATTTGTAATAGCTAAATCTTGGAAACAACCAAAATGCCCATTAAGCGTAGAGTGGATGAAAAAGATATGGTATTTTTATACAATGGAATATTACTCAGCTATAACAAGGATGGTCTTGAGGTCTTCATAGGTAAATGGAGACAACTTGAGACTATTCTCATAAGTGAAATAAGTAAGAATCATATTTATAAATATCACATTGTGTCTCTAGTGTAAAAAGTAATAATAACTATAGGAGTAATAAAGCCCAAAATGTGTATTTGCTATTGTAAAAAAAGAGAGGAAAAGAAAGGATATCTAAAGGATATAACTACATGTATGTTAAAGTGTGTAAGATAGATGACCATATTTCTTTTTGTTGGTTCATTGAACAGAACTGTTTGCAGTCTCACTGTTTGAATGTCCACTTTGTATGCTTTAATTTTGTAACTTGAACAACTATTTCTAAGGTAACAGTATGTAATTTATCAAC